CCGACGACCGCCAAAATCCCTTGTTCATGCCCATCGTATGCGTCATCGGATCAGCATCCGCCACCTGGCCAGAGAAAGCATTCGGCCGCGCCATCTCCCCACCGGAGTCTAGCATGCGAGAGGGGGGGGGCCGCTTGCTCCACGTTTGGCCATCTCTGCAATGGGCCACGGCGGACCGCCCGCGGGATGCGGCCAGGCAGCTGGCAGCCAGAATCGCCCATTCGCCCAGATGGAATGGAGGAACGGGAGTCCGCGCACCATGGGGGGCGAGTCGCGCAGCCACTCTAGGACGCATTCAGATGAGACGCGACACTGAGGCCCCCTCCGCATCGCAAGACGGGAAGAGCACGGACACTCGGCACTGGGTGACTAGAACGGCCTGGAGCAGATCGGGCGACAACATTCGGTATCGCGCCCGGTTTGCGAGTGGAGACCGCGGCGACATCGGCGGCGGCGGGCAGGGGCGCGGGGCGTCTGACACTCCGACGCGCGCGTGGAGGGCTCGCGTCGAGGGGCATGAATGAGGCGCGCCTGGCGCGAGCTGAAAGCGGGCAGGACCCCTGGGGGTGCGAGACCTGCGGGAGCTCCGACCAATATGCATGATATGTATATATATATATATGTGTGTGGAACGCAAAGGCAATGAGAAAGTTGGCTCTCTCGAGCGATGGGGAATCGTAGAAGCAGTCAATGTTATGAACACTCTCGGAGCCGTCCGAGGCAACGAAGGAGGGCGGCCAGGCGAGGAGGTGAGAGAGGCGAGGACAGACGAGATAGCGGGGCAGGGAGTCTGGGGCGCGAATCTCGACCCCGAGGCGTTCGTGAGCAGATCCGAAGTTACAGCGTGTCTGGGACAATATACCAACCAGATCCGACGTTTTCCATCCGCCAGCGAGAATCTCGAGGCGAGGCCACACTCGCGACGGCGCGAGGCTCGAGAGGACACCCCTGAGCCTGCCCCACCGTTCGGCGATCGCTGCACGCGCGAGGGGGGGCGGCCAGGGGGCCACTTCGCAAGACGGCGCGAAATGAGATCGGGAACGGAGTCGGGGAGCAGGGAGGCATAGAGAGACCGAAGGAAGAGGGTCTCTGGGCTGGGGCCGCTCTTCAAGCGGACCCTCTCGCCAGCGCCACGGGGGCCTCAGCTGCCTCCACCGCCGCCTTGGGGATCGCCCGAGAGGCGCGAGAGAGCACGACGCGAGAGGGCGGGATCTCCTGCCCTGGACTCAGGGCGAATTCGGACCAAGGGGGGTCGAAGGCTCTGAAGATCTGAACAACGCTGGATCTGCGCACCCAGATCCTAGGAGGCCACTCTTCCCCAGCGCAGTCGCCCAGAAACCCGGGGTCCTCAGCCGGCGCCCGAAGCCTCCCCCCGCGCCCCCGCCACGCCCGAGACGTCTTCCGACTGGCTCGCCGCGCATAAGCCACGCGGCTGAATTCGATGGGCACGGGCGCCGCCGTCGACATCCAACGAGCGACGCCAAGGAGCCAGCCACGTCGAAGCGAGTTCGGCGGAAGGCGCAGCAAGGCGCGCGGAGCGAGGCTTTCCTTTCGGCACGGGGGCAGGGCCAGGAGGGCAGAACTGGGCAACGCAGGAGAGACAGAGGCGACATAGAGATAGAGCCCCACGGAAACTGCGGAAGGAGCCCTGGACAGAGCAACCTCGCGACACCTCGACAACCACGTCTGCCCGGGGCCTGTCCGCCGGGCAGACAGGTCGGCCCCAGGGCCCAACAAGTCGCCCACATACTTGGCCTGGCCTTGGAGCAAAAAGCGCACCACACGGGGGCCCGACGAGCTAGCGTGGCCGCTGGCCCCGCACTCGCCTCAGCGTCGCACTCGCTCCACAGCGGCACGAAACAGCACATCGCAGGTTGAAGCTCGAGGGCCGCTGGCTTCTCGGCTTGCTGGAAGACCTCGCAAGGGCCTCGCACTGGAAACGCGCATCCCTACCGACCACATCACCAGCGCAACCCACAACCCTCGGCACAATTAGGAAACGCCACAATAAGACACCTCATCCACGCATCGAAGCCCAAGGCCCAGGGACTACCAGACAGCGCGCACCCGCGGGGCACGCCGGGCGCGGCGGGGAAGAGGGGCCCGGTCTTCTCGCCACTCGAGCGCGGCCGATCGCCCCACGGGCAATCGCAGCCAGCAGATGGTCACATGCGGGGGGGGCCGAGGAGCCCAGGGAGCCAATCGCCTGCGCCAGGGAAAAAGCCAGCTCGCCAAGACTCAGCGTCCAGAGCAACGAACGATGTGCCCGCCGAACTTTCTCCCAGCTGCGAAGCTTTCCTGGACTTCACGGGCGTCGCAAGCCACCGCCCTCGAGAGGCGGGCGTCGACGGCGGCGGCGACAGCCATGCTATCCGAACTTTTCAGCGCAAGAGGGCGCGTGCACTCAGGACTGCGCGCGCAGTCGACCAGGTCTGATACTTCTTCCCCCTCCGGGAGAAAGGCGAGCAAGCGGGCATTGAAAGACGGGGGCGGCGGCTCGTCCTCGGCCGCGCGCACCTACGCCCCGTGGAAAACTTCCGCGAGGGACGGGCGGGCCCGCCAAGCCCTCGCGTTGAGCCAATCAGGCCCAGGGGCCGGGTCCCTGGCCTTCTTGAAAAAGCAGCTTCAACATAGCATGGCCATTCAGGTTCAGCGCGTCGAGCGCGACAGCGCCATGGAAGGCCTGGATGTCGCATTCAGTCTAGGCTGCAAACCAAGACTCTATCAAACTTACAAAACTTATCAACCGCATGCAATCTGCCCAGCTCCAACATGTGAGAACTGAGGTCGCGCCAGAACGGCCCCGAAAAGTTCGCTCGCCCAGCATATGACATTCGCGCCTGCCGAGGGAGAGGAAACAAAATGGACTCCGCAGGGTAATATGATAGATTGGAACCCCCAGCAGCAATGAAGGTGCGACGCGGTGGATCACGATGAGCCTAAACTGCAGCCCCACCCAATGCACGGCGAATGGGCGCACGGCCTTCGTTGGAACTCTCGAAAACTGTAGATTATCATGACCTGCAGCTCCCAGCCTGTCGCAGGATGTTTGGTGGTGGTGAGCATCGGGCGTCCACGCTCCAAGACACGGTGCTTGACTTCTGGGATCGCACCCGCCCAAGCAGCGGCAAGCGTGCTCTCATCATGCCAGGGAACGGGGATCGCCACTCCTCCAATCCCAGCTCGTTCCATGGAAGTTTGTGCGACCTTGAAATGGATAGTGTATGAATTCAACGCGTTCCTGGGCGACTCCTCGAAACCATGGACCTCCTGAGCCAGCACCAGGCAACGCTGTCGCAATAGCTCTGCAATCATGTTGAGCTTCTTCCGCCTCCTCAACGAGCTGTTTCTGAGGAGTAGGCCGCGCGCACTCCCCGAAACTATGCCCAGCGACCTCGCAGATTCGGTGAGCTCCCACGGGGCCCACCTCCGTTTAGGACCACGACCAGCCCGATGTGTCAACCTCCCGCCATGGATCTTTGAACTTGGAGTTGGTGGCCTTCCACTTGGCGCCGAAGAGGGTCGCAGTGACCATGTCCCATGCCACCTTGGAGGGCCCCCCGGGGCCCATGACCTTGATCTTGGCCACCGCCGAGCCCGCGACGTAGACCAGCCCTTTGGGTCGCCTTGCTCAGCACTCAAGATATGCAGCTGCTCCACGTACCATTTCGAGCAGCTTCTTTGTTTAAACTTCGCGTCGTATGTCCCTTCCGTTCTTGTCGCCCTTGACGTGGAGCGAGACCGAGTTGCCCGTGACCGTCTTGACATTGAAGCGGCGCCACTCCCTGCCGCCCGTGAGCTTGAGGGCCGTCTGGAGGGCGCTCGCGCGGGCAACTCCCGCAGCTCCGACCGGGCATTGGAGGTGGAAGCGCTTCTGGGCGCCGTCGCCGATGAGCTTGACCTGGTCCGCCGCCACAGTGGCCGCCGTGAACCACACCCCCAGCGCCTCCATGACTTCACGAGGAGCAGCAGGCGCCTCGCAGGACAGCACAAAGAGGGCTGGATCAACAGGCCGGTTCCAATCGGCCAGCTTCGCAGGGTCGATCGGGTCCTGGATCTGGGATTCTGCCATGGGCAGGGTAGCTTGGAGCTCCTGGGCAGTGCGTTTGATCTATGAACTTTGGTTAGGCGGTCGGTACTTGCTTTGAGTAGCTTGACTTCCTCCCCCTGCGCCGCCAGGTTGGCCGCGTGCGTGGCGTTCTTGGCGTCGAAGAGGCTGGTGAGATCTTCGAGCACCGACTCCATGGCGCTGGCGAACGTGATCTCCACGTAGGCTTGCATCTTGCTTTTGAATTCGCCAAAGTGACGTTCCACCATCGCGTCCGCAGCAGAAGAAACCGAGGGAGCACCACCGGTAGAAGCAGCCCCAGCGCTGGCCTGCGATCCTCCGCTGCTGAAGCTCCTCCAAGGGCCCTCCTGTTCAGGTGCATCGCGCCGTGCGCGACGGTCCCGAGCTCGTTCGCCGCTACGACTCTTCTCTGCATGGCAACCGCCATCCTCGCCAGAGTCATCCTCGGAGGAGGAGCACCAGGAGGAGGAGGAGGTGGAGGAGAAGGATCGAGGAGAAGGATCGAGGAGGAGGATCGTGAGAGGAGGATCGAGGAGGATCGAGGAGGAGGAGGAGGAGCACGCTCGTGCATGGCAGGAAACGTGGGCGACGGGCAAAGCCCGCGGGATATGGAATGCGAGCCGTCGTCGTGGCCGGTGCCCGCTGGCGCACGACACGCCGGACATCCTCGTCATGGAGGTGCCCGCTCACGCCAAACTAGCTTGAGCCAAAATGGCAACGGAGAGTGGAGGAGGAGGAGGAGAGGAGGAGGAGGAGGAGGAGGAGGAGTGGAGTGGAGCAATCGGACGTAGTCCGTTATGGAGGAGGAGGGGAGGAGGAGGAGGAGGAGGAGGAGGAGGAGGAGGAGGAGGAGGAGGAGGAGGAGGAGGAGGAGGAGGAGGAGGTAAGAAGAAGCAAAAGAGAAGGAGGAGGAGGAGGAGGAGGATGAGAAGGAGGAGGGTGGACGAGGAAGGAGGAGGATGGCAAGGCCGAGCCGCTCAGCCTCCTCGCGACCTGGCGGCCAGTCTGCCCGCCCCCTCCACGCGCCCGCCCTGCTTGAGAGGGCGGGCGCCTCAAAAAAGGCCCCGCCGCGCCAGCTTCGTGGCGACGGGGCGGCACCGCGCTGTCCCGACGTGGGCAGCAGGCCCCGGCCCTCGCCTCCCCGCCCCTCGTCCTCGGGCTTCTCCTCCTGCTGCTGCTCCTCCCTCCAGGCCTCGGAGAAAAAAACAGCGAACGCTCCTGCCACCTTCGTCTGTCAACGCCTCCCCCCTCCCCCCAATCTTCAACGCCTCCTCACAATCGTGTTCAAGCGAACTTCTTCCAACTCAACACCACACAGGGGTAACACAAAGAGCATTGTGAGCAGAATGCTGGGATTTCGGGCAACATACTCCACATTATCTCAGCATCATCGCCATCGTCATCGCAACCATCACAAACCACCATTACAATCATCACCCTCATCCCGCTCATAACCATACGTCGTCTCCACCGCCTCCTCCGCAGCGTGCTCCCCCTCCTCCCCATACTCCACCACCTCACCTCCCACTCGCCCCGAGCTTCCAGAAAGCCATCCTCGCCTCCCCCTTGCCCTCGCAACTCGCGAGCGTGGACCCCTGCAGGCCTGGACCCTTCCGCTGTGACGGGCTTTCCGTTGATGGCCCTGCGGGCCCTGCACGGGCCCCCGAAGCCGAAAATTGCCAGACGCCCGCAGCCGTGGTTTCTGCCGCAACGCGAAGAGATCTGGGGAGCCCCTCGCCCTCCACCTCCAGTCGGCGACCCCGAAACGTGTGCTCTGCAAAGGGTGTGGTTTGCAACCAGTACCCGGGGGGGGGGCACCCTGGAGGGCGGACGGGGACTTCGGCAGGGCCCTCCGCCGCGCCCCGAACAAGGCCAGACGAGGACAGCGTCGTGCTCCCCAGGCCCCAACGGTGCCGATCGCACCCCCCCCCGGCGTAACCACACCCTAAAGTTGCGGATGCCACGACAATGGGCACCCTAACAGTCCTATCATTGAATTTATAACGAACAACATCAAAGCCGGATGGCTGTCCAACCCCAGCACGGGTGTGTTCGGGACCACGGGGCAGTGGCGCCAGCGGCGGGCGGCAACACCGGGCCCGGGGCTGGTGCAGGCGCCGGCAGCTGGCAGCCAAGGGCGGCGTCAGCGGGGGCCGGCAGCGCCATGGCGGCGCGGGAGGTAGGGAGAGCGAACGGGGGGGGGGGGGGGAAACGAACAGGGAGGAGGACGCCCCACCTGTGGGCCCACAGGTGGGGCGGCGGGCGCCAGGACGGCGGCGCGCACGCAGCGGGCGGCACGAAGGCCGGCGTGCGGACGGGCACCGAACAGGCGCAGGGAAGATTATGGGCGCGCCTCCCGGCGGGGTGGGGTCGGCCCGCAGCGGGAAGGGGGGGGGATGTCGCCACCGCCATGCGATGGCGCGGCACCGAACAGGCGCAGCGAAGCGAAGCGAAAGGGCAGGGGCCCCCTATGCGAGGAGAAGGCCTGCACGAAGAGGGCGGCCGCAGGGGGAGGCGGCTGGCACCGGAGCGGCGGTGGCGCGAAGAGCGCCGAAGCAGGAGAACCAGGGGCCGTCACTGGGTGCCCCTGGCCCGGACGGGCCGAGGGGCCGGCCAGGGGGGCGAGGCGACCAGTTGCAGTCGGGGCGGCCGCAGCAGGTGCGCTGCGCCAAAGCGGGAAGCATGGCGCCCCGCTCCGCAGCGGGGGGGGGCCGGCGGGCGGGCGGCGGGCAGAGCGAGCGAAAAGGGGGGAAGGGGGGGGGGGGGCGAAGGGCGAAGGGATGCTCAGAGGAGGACCGAGCGCGGACGCAGGCAGGGCGCGGGGCCTCGCGGACAGGCTTGGAGAGCGCGAGGGCGGCGCGGCAGGGCGCCTGCGGCCTCGAGGCGCCTGCTGGATATACAGGCGCAAAGGCATGGCACTGGGCCGAGGCTGCCGGGGGAGCGGCGCGGCTGCCGGGTCTGGACGGGCCCTTCCTTGCGCGGTGTTCCGCGCATGCCCGTGAGGCACGAACGCGCAGCAAGAAGGGCCAAGCCAGGGGCGGCGAGGGCGGCGGCTCGGGAGGCGCTGCCCGGACTGCTCGTTCCTCGCTGGGCCACGCGGGGTCGGCGCGTCGCTTGCCTCTCCCTGTCGGGTCCGGGGCCTTGCCTTCTACCCATGCCCCTGCCAGCAAGCTGCCCCATCCTTCCTGCGCGCGCGCCCCGCGCTGCGGGCCACTTGATGCGGGGCCCGCGAGCGCGGCACAGCCGTCGGACATCCAAGTTCTCGCTCGCTGCGCAGCTGGCAGACGACCTTCTGACACAAAAGTCGCCCTGTCCATCTGGATTATAGGTCGCTCCTGGCCGCCCCACCCGTTGGTCGCACAGAGCCTTCCAACCGATGACAAACATGGGGCCACATTCCCCTGAGATCCGACGTAGCGAAAAAATTGCAACATCGTGACAATCCGCGCCTGGAGCCCCGGAGCCCATCTTCCTGCGTCACTTTTCGAGCCGGATGGATCTGTGAGGGCCCTGGGACCCGTCAAAGGGCGAAAGCGCCCGGCTCGAAAGAGTGGAGTCGCCAGGACCTCAGGGCCCTTCGTGCGCCCGCGCGCGACCTCGGCCCACGTCTGGACGCGGTTGGCTCGGCAGCTCCGCGCGCCGCGCCTTGCGAGGCCGGCTGCGGAGGCGGCCGCCGGGGGCCCGGGCGGGGAGGGCGCACGCGGGGGGCGCAGACGCGGGGCCGACCCGATGCGCGGCCGCAGGGGGGCAGCCTGCGCGCGCGCCGGGATGCGGCCTCCCTGCTGGAGGCGGCGCGGGGGTCGGAGCGGACGCGTGGTCGCTCCTCGGTTCGGGGCGTCTCGCCCGGCGCGACCGCCGTCGAGTGCCCAGAGATCCAGCGCAACGGAAATCAATCAAGACGCGGAGGTTTTTCGCATTTTTCGGCCTCGAGGGGCCCTCGCCGGGCCCCGGGACCGTCAAAAAACGACTCAGGACGCAAAGCCGGTCCTGGGGAATGGGTCGAGACTTCCAGGGTCCCGTATTGAAAAAGTCACGACGTCGGATCTCTGGGGACGTTTGGTCGCTCCTCGGTTCTGGGCGTCTCGCGGGCGCGATCGCCGTCGAATTCCTGGGGCGCGCCCCCCTCGGCTATACCAGATCGGCGCGATCGCCCGGGCAGGGGCTGGCGCAGCTCGGCTCCACTGCGTCGCTGTGGCGCGAGAGGGCGGGCGGGTCGGGGGGCGAGAGCGCTCCTGCTCGTCGGCGGGGGAGACGGACAACCCAGAGATCCGATGTCGTGATTTGTTCAATACGGGGTCCCCGGAAGCCTCGACTCATTCCCCAGGGCCGGCTTTGCGTCCTGAGTCGTTTTTTGAAGGTCCCGGGGCCCGGCGAGGGCCCCACGAGGCCGAAAAATGCGAAAAGCCTCTGTCTTGATTTTTTCAATACGCTGGATCTCTGGGAATGCGTCGGGATTATCCGTGGACTTCACTCGCTCCACACAGCTATCTACTTTGCGCTCCAAAGGTTTCAGTGACGCGTGCATGATATGCCTGACGTCCGCCGTGGGGGCCCTGAAAAATCTCATGTTACTTGGCCCCAGCCCCTCTGACACAGCAGCTGGAGTCTGAAGAGCCTACAAATCAGCGCCATCCGACGCTTGTTTTTCCGCGCCGCCCTCGACACGAGCCTTCTTCGAATCTCGCCCATCGTCAACAACTGAAGGTAGACCAGCAGCAGCGAAGTAGGAACCTGGACCGAACACGGTGGGACCAGCATCTGCGGTGGCGCCAGTGAAAAGTGCAGCAATCGCCGCTGACATGTTTTAAACTGTTCTGATATGGAAAGCGAGAACGATAACGAGAAAGAAAGGACGGGCGAACGTCCGAGACTAAATGTTAGAGGTGAAACCAGATGAGCCTGAAAACGTGCGCCCAATCGCATTCTGGAGCCAAAATGGACGACGACGACGACGACGACGACGACGACGACGACGACGACGACGACGACGACAGAAACAAAGACAGGGACGACAACGACGAAGACGGCGAGCCTATTCGGCGGCCGTTCTGGACCATCCGGGCGCCCCCGGAACGCTCTCGGTGAGGCGCAGCCGCTGCAGCGCACCCCGAGGCTGGAACCGTGCACCTGAGCCGATCCCACCCCCTAGCGTTGCCCTCCGTTTCAAAGTTCGGCGAAGCGGGCCGCCCTGGCCGGTTGCAGGGCTTTGCCTCCGCCCGGCAGAGGGGTGAGCTCGGTCTCGCCGAGTTTCTGGGCAGCCCCCAGGGAACTTCCGAAGGGAGCGGCGCGGCGCGAGAAACTACCAATCGGGGAGCGCTTTTTGCGCCCACCCCTCCTCATCCTCCGAATCCTCATCCTCCGGTTCCTCCTCCTCCTCCTCCTCCTCCTCCTCCTCCTCCATCTCCTCATCATCATCATCATCACATCATCATCAATCATCATCATCATCATCCATCATCATCATCATCATTCATCATCATCATCATGAATCATCATCATCATCATCATCATCCTCATCATCATCATCCTCATCATCATCATCATCATCATCATCATCATCATCATCATCATCATCATCATCATCATCATCATCATCTCACTCATCATCCTCATCCTCCTGTTATCCTCCTCCTCCTCCTGCTCCTCCTCCTCCTCCTCCTCCTCTCTTTCCTTCTCCTCCTCCTCCTCCTCCTCTCCTCCTCCGCCTCCTCCCTCCTCCTCCTCCTCCTCCTCCTCCTCCTCCTCCTCGCCCCTCCCCCTCCACTCCCCTCCTCCTCCTCCTCCTGCTCCTCCTCCTCCTCCTCCTCCGCTCCTCTCCTCCTCCTCCTCCTCCTCCTCCTCCTCCTCCTCCTCCTCCTCCTCCTCCTCCTCCTCCTCCTCCTCGTTCGACCGGGCAGGGCTCTCGATCCTCACTCGGCCCTCCGGCTGCGAGGGAGGCCGGCCTGGCCGGAAGTGCCCGCAGCCCTCACGCGGGCACCCGCGGCTAGGGCAGGGGCTCCACCGGCAGGGAGACCGGCTCCACCTGTCGGGCTGCCGAGGGCAGGAGGCCAGGGAGGAGGAGGAGGAGGAGGAGGAGGAGGAGGAGGAGCATGAGGAGGAGTAAGAGGGAGGAGGAAGAGAGGAGAGGGACGAGGAGTACGAGATGGAGGTAAGGAACGACGACGACGACGACGAACGACGAACGAACGACGACGACGACGAGCGACCGACGACGAGAGGAGGAGGAGGAGGAGTAGGAGAGGAAGGAAAAAAAAAGGAGGAGGAGGAGGACGAGCGGGCGAGCGCGGCTCGCGTCGGTATGCTCCGAGCTCCCTGGGGATACCATACCCCCCAGGGCCACGCAGGAGGAGGAGGAGGAGGAGGAGGACGAGGAGGAGGACGAGGAGGACGAGGAGGAGGAGGAGGAGGAGGAGGAGGACGAAGAAGAAGAAGCGCTGCTCGCGTCGGTGTGCTCTGAGCTCCCTGGGAATACCATACCCCCCAGGGCCGCGCAGGAGGAGGAGGAGGAGGAGGAGGAGGAGGAGGAGGAGGAGGAGGAGGAGGAGGAGCAGGAGGAGGAGGAGGAGGAGGAGGAGGAGGAGGAGGAG